GAGGAGGAGGAGGAGGAGGAGGAGGAGGAGGAGGAGATTGGATTTATCCCCCGCCCTTCACAACCCAAAGGTGTCTCAGAGTGGCTCACAAACTCCTCTCCCTTCCCTTCCCCTCCCCTCCCCACAACAACCCTGGGAGGCAGATGGGGCTGAGAGAGCTCTTGACAGAAATGGCTCTTTTTTCAAGGACAGCTCTTGTCAGAACTACAGCTTGCCCGAGGTCATCCAGCAGCTGCAAGTGGAGGAGTGGGGAATCAAACCCAGCTCTCCCAGATTAGCGTCCGCACACTTCACCACGACACCAAACTGTGGAGAAAGAGTGAGGAATCAAACCCAGTTTCATGGCTGGAGTTCATTAGTGGCTGTAGATGTTGCAGGCTGTATGGCCGTGGATGGCCAAGACCATGGCCATACAGCCCGGGACATCTACAACCACTAATAATCTCCAAATCAGAGTCCACCGCTCTTAACCACTACACCAAACTGGCTCCCTTAGTCTTCTCTCCTCGGACTGGCAGTTTTCTTTCAGGGTCTCCGGCAGAGAGAGGACTTTCTCATCACCTGCGACCCAAACCTTGAGCACACGAAGGTGCCTTCTACTGAACCAGATGTTGGATCCATCAAGACCCCAGCGCTGTCTCTTCAGAGCACTTGGGCAGAGAAAAGGTCTTTCACATCCACTGCCTGGTCCTTCCCACTGGAGACGGAACCAGGGATTGAACCAGGGACCTTCTGCATGCCAAGCAGAGGCTCTGCCACTGAGCCACGGCTCATTCTTATGGGCACATCTGAAACTGCCTTCTGTGGAATCAGACCCTTGATCTATCAACACCGATATTGTCTACTCAGACTGGCAGCAGCTCTCTCTTTCCCAAAACCTCCCGCCTGGACCTTTTTAACTGGAGATGCTGCCAGGGATTGAACCTGGGACCTTCTGCATTCCAGACAGAGGCTCTTCCACTGAGCCACAGCCCCTCTTTACAGCTCTCCAGGGTCTCAGGCGGAGGTCTTTCCCATCACCTCCTGCCTGGTCCTTTTTAACTGAAGATGCTGGGGTTTAAACCCCTTCTACATGCCAAGCAGATGCTCTGTCACTGAGCCACAGCTCATTCTTATGGGCACATCTGAAACTGCCTTCTGTGGAATCAGACCCTTGATCTATCAACACCGATATTGTCTACTCAGACTGGCAGCAGCTCTCTCTTTCCCAAAACCTCCCGCCTGGACCTTTTTAACTGGAGATGCTGCCAGGGATTGAACCTGGGACCTTCTGCATTCCAGACAGAGGCTCTTCCACTGAGCCACAGCCCCTCTTTACAGCTCTCCAGGGTCTCAGGCGGAGGTCTTTCCCATCACCTCCTGCTTGGTCCTTATAACTGGAGATGCCGGGGACTGAACCTGGAACCTTCTGCATGCCAAGCAGAGGCTCTTCCACTGAGCCACGGCCCCTCTTGACAGCTCTCCAGTGTCTCAGGCGGAGGTCTTTCCCATCACCTCCTGCCTGGTCCTTTTTAACTGGAGATGCTTGCGGAGATTGAACCTGGGACCTTCTGCATGCCAAGCAGAGGCTCTTCCACTGAGCCACAGCCCCTCTTTGCAGCTCTCCAGGGTCTCAGGCGGAGGTCCTTCCCATCACCTCTTGCCTGGTCCTTTTAGCTGGAGATGCTGCCAGGGATCGAACCTGGGACCTTCTGCATGCCAAGCAGAGGCTCTTCCACTGAGCCACAGCCCCTCTTTGCAGCTCTCCAGGGTCTCAGGCGGAGGTCCTTCCCATCACCTCTTGCCTGGTCCTTTTAGCTGGAGATGCTGCCAGGGATCGAACCTGGGACCTTCTGCATGCCAAGCAGAGGCTCTGGCACTGAGCCAGGGTCTCAGGTCAAGGTCTTTCTCATCACCTACTGTCTGGTCCCTTCTAACTGGAAATGCCGGAGACTGAACCTGTGGTCTTCTGCTGTTCTTTCAAGGGCAGTCCTTGAAAGAGCTCTCTGAGCCCCACCTACCTCACAGGGTGTCTGTTGTGGGGAGGGGAAGGGAAAGGAGATTGTAAGCCGCTCTGAGACTCCTTTGGGTGGTGAAGGGCAGGGGTATAAATCCAACTCTTGAGAGCCAGTTTGGTGCAGTGGTTACTCCAATCTGGGAGAACCGGGTTTGATTCCCCACTCCTTCACATGCAGCCAGCTGGGTGACCTTGGGTCAGTCACAAGTTCCCTCAGAGCTATTCTTTCAAGAGCAGTCCTTGAACGAGCTCTCTCAGCCTGCCTACCTCACAGGGTATGTGTTGTGGGGAGGGGAAGGGAAAGGAGTTTGTGAGCTGCTTGAGACTCCTTCGGGTAGTGAAGGGTGGGGGATAAATCCAATCTCTTCTCCTTCTTCTACTACTGAACCACAGCCAGTGTTCCCTCTCAGCTGAGTTAGTGTGAGCTGGCTCACAGTTTTTTAGCCTCCAGATCACCCATTTTTGTCTCAGCTCAGGAAGGATGGCTCCAGAGCAAACTAATTTATGCAGGAGCCAAATCTCTAGCTCACAACTTTAATGCCAGTAGCTCACAAAGTAGAACTTTTGCTCACAAGACCCCACAGCTTAGAGGGAGCATTGGCCACAGCCCAACCCCACTGTTTTAACCACCCTGACCTCCCCTTCCCAAGCCTCTCTCAACCCTCACCGGAGAGGCAGGCATGAATGCTGCGCAAAGATCCTCCTGCAGTGACGAACGCCCAGGCCCCTGTGGAAAGCGTCAGGAGGAAGAGGGGGATGAGGCTGGCTTCGTAGCAAGGGTTGAGGAAGGTCTGCGGAAGGGAGAGAGAAAGATTTTCAAGCCACGGTAATCCTCTCCCCGCCCACGTTGTCGTCCCGTTGTCTCCTTCTCCCATAAGCCTTTGCACTGGGCCTGGTCAAGCCCTCCACAAAGAGGGCGGCCGTCACTGGTCTCTGCGGCTGCTGACTGGCACAGCTTGGGGGATAATTCCCTGCGACTGAGAAGGCCCAGGTGGGCCTGCGTGACTTAAGCTTCACTTCTGGGCCACACTCCCCACCCCAGCCTGTGAGGGAGAAGGAATAACGCCAAGAGACACTCCCTGCTACTCCAGAGAGTCTATAAACGGCGACACACGACATGGCAGAGTCAGAAGCCTCTTTCTCCAAATGGGAATAACTGAGCACAGCTGTACGTTGCATCCTGGAGCCAGGAGGCAACATCAGGGGAAGGCCCCGGCCTCTCTTCCCTGTTGCTGGACCTCCAGAGGAACTGGTCTGACCCAGCAGGACTTTCCTGATATTCTTACAGAGAATCTCCACATTCAGAGGCAGTCAACTTCTGAGTCTCAGTTCCATGAGGCAACACCAGGGGAAGGCCTTGGCCTGTCTGCCCTGTTGTTGGCCCTCTAGAGGAACTGGTTGGCCACTGTGTGAGACGGGATGCTGGACTAGATGGACCCTCAATGGCCTAATCCAGCAGGGCTCTCCTGGTGTTCTCCTCAGGGGAAGGCCTCAGCCTCTCTGCCCTATTGTTGGACATCCAGAGGAAGAAGAGATTGGATTTATACCACGCCCTTCACTCGGAGTCTCAGAGAAGCTTACAATCTCCTTCCCCTTCCCCTCCCCACAACAGACACCCTGTGAGGCAGGCGGGGCTGAGAGAGCTCTTTCGAGGACTGCTCTTGAAAGAACAGCTCTGAGAGAACTTGTGACTGACCCCATGTCACTCCAGCAGCTGCATGTGGAGGAGTGGGGGATCAAACCTGGTTCTCCCAGATTAGAGTCCGCACTCCTAACTTCTACAAACTGGTTGGCCACTGTGTGAGACGGGATGCTGGACTAGATGGACCACTGGTCTGACCCAGCAGGGCTCTTCTGATGTTCTCCTCAGGGGAAGGCCTTGGCCTCTCTGCCCTGTTGTTGGCCCTCTAGAGGAACTGGCTGGCCACTGTGCGAGACAGGAGGCTGGACTGGATGGACCATAATCTGATGCTCACTCCTACTTAAGGCGTTGTCTGTTATGTTGGGCTTTGTATGTTATGTTCGAGTCCAGTGGAATCCTAGAGACCAGTAAGGAGATTTTCAGGGGTAGACACTTTTGAGGGCCAAAGCTTCCGTGTCTGACGAAGGGCCCTGTTGACTCTTGAAAGTTTCTTACCCGGAAACCTTGTGGGTCTGTAAGGGATTATTAGACTGGAATCCAGGTTAACAGGTGACAGATCTGTTGGCAAAGCCAACGTTGGGTCCACAGCCTGCCCCAGAAGGACGCTCCCAACTCACTGGATTCTGTTCCTGCCAGTTCCATACAGGGTGCTGAAGAATACAGATGGCTACAACCAATGTTCCCTCTAAGCTTTGGAGTCTTGTGAGCAAAACTTCTCCTTTGTGAGCTACTGGCGTTAATGTTTTGAGCAAGCAATCTGGCTACTGCATAAATTAGTTTGCCCTGGAGCCATCCCTTCCTGAGCTAAGGCAAAAATGTGTGAGCCAGAGGCTAAAAAACTGTGAGCTAGCTCACACTAACTCAGCTTAGAGGGAACACTGGATACAACGTCCATCCAGAAAGTTTGGTCAGAGAGAGAGCATGCAGTTACCAGCCTTTTTGATAGGGGGACCCCACAAGTCCAAACTGACTGGGTACGGTGACCCATCCAGGGTTTTATGGCACCCTAGGCAAACTAGGACCTTGGCGCCTGTCTACTTCTGCATTCCATCTTCTACAGTGGGAAAGGAGATGTTTCTGAAAAACCAACAAACATCGCACAAAGGGTGCACTGCCCCCCCCCCCCCGCTATAAACCCCAAGTAAGTGGCACTCTGACACTTGCTGAGGGCCAGTCTGGTGTGCTGGTTAAGTGTGCAGAGTCTAATCTGGGGGAACCGGGTTTGATTCCCCACTCCTCCCCATGCAGCTGCTGGTGTGACCTTGGGTCAGTCACAAGTTCTGTCAGAGCTGTTCTCTCAAGGACAGTTCTGAAAAGAGCTCTCTCAGCCCCGCCGACCTCACAGGGTGTCTGTTGTGGGGAGGGGAAGGGAAAGGAGTTTGTAAGCCGCTCTGAGACTCCCTTGGGTAGTGAAGGGCCATGGGGTATAGATCCAATCTCCTCCTCTTCTTCATATACGGCCTTTGACCACCCCCTCCTCCTACAATACTCCCTCTAATCCCCCTTTGGATCCTCTTTCACTCTTAGTGACCCTCAGGACAGGTTTTACTTGATCAACATGTCTATGTTGAAGAAGGTGCCCACCTGCATCTACGTATATGTTGAAGAAGATGCTGTTTCCAGGGCCAGATCTTGGCTTCCAAAATCCAAGAGAGAGCAAGAGAAAAGGCAGGGGCCACGACGGAGGGCTGGCCTGCAACCCACTTGCAGACGCTTCACGACCAACTCTGGGGTCCTAACCAGTGTTCCCTCTAAGCTGAGTCAGTGTGAGCCAGCTCACATTTCTTTAGCCTCTGGCTCACACACTTTTGTCTTAGCTCAGGAAGGAGGACTCCATTTATACCGTCGCCAAACCGCTCGCTCACAACCTTAATGCCAGCAGCTCACAAGGCAGAATTTTTGCTCACAACAATCCACAGCTTAGAGGGAGCATCCAGCCCACCGGTTGGGGAAACGCTGCCCTACAGTCACCCCCGGCCCCCCATCCACTCACCAACCCAGAGGTGACCAGGTGACTGGTGACCACCAGCCCCAGCGTCCCGTAGCGTCTCTTCTCACAGGCGTCGAAGAAGATGGTCCCCCAGAAGGTGTGCAAGAAGACCAGGGCCATGGTCAAGAAAGCTGTGGGGGAGGAGGGGGAAGGCCAGTCAGGGCGAGGCGGGCCAGACTTCCACACGGGCTGCATTCCGCCCAGAGCAATTCCGCACAACAGATACAACGAATGTTGTCCCTGTGCAGCAGAGAAACACTGTCCGCAACCAACTCTCTGTCCCCCCCCCAGACGGCCGTACGGGGGCTCCACCAGTCCCTCCCCACCCCTCGTCTTCTTCTGTATAGATCTATGGGGTAGCCTCATTGGGAATGCCGCGTACCATTCGGGTCACCAGCCAGGGCTCTTTTTGTAGCAGGAACTCCTTTGCATATCAGGCCAAACACCCCTAATGTAGCCAATCCTCCAAGAGCTTACAGAGCTCTTCTTACAGGGGCTACTGTAAGCTCTTGGAGGATTGGCCACATTAGGGGTGTGTCGCTTAATATGCAAATGAGTTCCTGCTATAAAAAGAGCAGGAGACATTGCAGAGCTGGAAAACAGCGCAGAGGAGGGCGACCAAGATGATGAGGGGGTTGGAAAGGCTGAAGAGTCTGGGACTTCTCCATTTGTAAAAGAGATGATTAAGAGGGGACATAACAGAGGTCGATACGATTATGCACGGTGTGGAGAGAGCGGACAAAGGGAACTTTTCCTCCCTCTCCCAAAAGACCGGAATTCAGGGGCATCCAACGAAGCTGATGGGCAGGAGGTTCAAGGCGGACAAAAGGAAACACTACCTTACAGAGAGAGTGATTCAAATGTAGGATTCGCTGCGAGAGGGTGTCGTGAGGGCCACAGGAATGAACAGCTTTAAAGGATGATTAGATCGATTCATGGAGGAGAGGTCTAGCAGTGGCTACTAGCCATGGTGGCTGAGGGGAACCTCCATATTCAGAGGCAGTCAACCTCTGAATCCCAGAGCCAGGAGGCAACATTAGGGGAACGTCTTGGCCTCTCTGCCCTGTTGTTGGCCCTCTGTGTGAGGCAGGAGGCTGGACTGGATGGACCCTCCCTGGTCTGACCCAGCAGGGCTCTTCTGATGTCCTTCTCAGGGGAAGGCCTCGGCCTCTCTGCCCTGTTGCTGGCCCTCCAGAGGAACTGGCTGGCCCCTGTGTGAGACGGGAGGCTGGACTGGATGGACCGTCCCTGGTCTGACCCAGCAGGGCTCTTCTGAGGGTCTTCTCAGGGGAAGGCCTCGGCCTCTCTGCCCTGTTGCTGGCCCTCCAGAGGAACTGGCTGGCCCCTGTGTGTGAGACGGGAGGCTGGACAAGAGGGACCCTCCCTGGTCTGACCCAGCAGGGCTCTTCTGGTGTTCTTCTCAGGGGAAGGCCTCGGCCTCTCTGCCCTGTTGTTGTTGGCCCTCCAGAGGAACTGGCTGGCCCCTGTGTGAGACGGGATGCTGGACTAGATGGACCCTCCCTGGTCTGACCCAGCAGGGCTCACAGTGGCTACTAGCCATGGTGGCTGAGGGGAACCTCCATATTCAGAGGCAGTCAACCTCTTATCAGGGGAAGTAGGAGGCAACATTAGGGGAACGTCTTGGCCTCAGAGGAACTGGTTGAGGCCACTGTGTGAGACGGGAGGCTGGACTGGATGGACCCTCCCTGGTCTGTCCCAGGAGGGCTCTTCTGAGGTTCTTCTCACTTTAATGAAGAAAGAACGGCATTCTCGAGGCCACACCAAATGTCCAAGGCCGAGGGGAGCTCTGAACCCCAATGAGACTCAAACGTATCCTCTCTGTCCCCAGCATCCTCGTAAGACGTCTAACCCCTGTCTGACATTACCTGACGTGATGAAGTAGTGGGGCGAGTCCCCGTGGATCCCCACGGTGCCCGGACCAATGGAATCCGCCAGGATGTTGATGACGGAGAAGAGGCCGCTGATGATCCCAAAGGCGAGCCCCGACACTGCACAGCAGAGAGATCAGACAGCCCCTTTTAAGAACCTGTGAAAACACTGCCGGAGCAGACCAAAGGCCCGTCTATTCCAGCCTCCCTCTGCAGGGCATGGAGGCTGAGGTGTCCTTGCTTACTGGGGAGACGATTTTCCCTTTAAACACTCTCTGCGTACCTAAACTTGGTAGCTTTCTGCTGCCACCAGGAATTAGAAATTCCAAATCTCCCTCCCTCTCTGCTGGTAGAATGACCCAGGGTCTGGGCACTTCAGAGGACTATGTGGCCCTGAGGAAAGACTGTACTGATTGCTGGGATAAGTTCAAATAAAATTTGATTTTTGAACAGCTGCTGACGAAAGGAACTTGTAAATATAAATGGCAAAGCCTGGTGTCACACTCAGTCTCTCAACCATCAAACGTCACTCTGACAGGCGAATCTCTTTCTTTCTCATAACCACACAGGCAAAACTGCAAGACCGATTTCACACAAGAGCTTGCGCCGCGGTCGCGCCTCCCTTTGCCCCGCTTCTATTGGTCAATTTCCCACTCGAAGCCACACGGCCGCAGTTTGACCCACGGCTTTGCCCGATTTCCCCCGCGGTTTCGTGATCCTCAAAAAACAGGATCACGAAACCGCGGGGAGAATCAGACGAAGCCGCGGGTCAAAATTCCAACCCTCTCACCATCCTGGTTGCCCTCTTCTGGACATGCTAGAACTTGTCGACATCCTTCCTAAAATGTGGTGCCCAAAACTGGACACAGGACTCCTGACCATAGCAGAATAGAGCGGAACGACCACCTCCCGTGATCTGGACACAAGGCTTCTGTTGATGCAGCCTAAGACTGCATCAGCCCCAAAGCGAGACGTACAAAGGGAAGCATCCAGCCGTCCACTCACCGTAGGCCATCTGCTTGATTGAGATGGGAGGCCGGCCATCTTCACTGAGGGTCACCAAGCCTTCGTCCGCCTTCCTAAGGGCGAGATTCAGAGGAAGCAGAGAATGTGTGGAGTGTTCAGGAGCACAGAAAACTCTTTGGGGGGTGTCAGTATAAGGCAGCTACAGATGGATGTTTAGGGAGGGGCTGTGGCTCAGTGGCAGAGCCTCTGCTTGGCATGCAGAAGGCCCCAGGTTCAATCCCCGGCATCTCCAGTTAAAAGGACCAGGCAGGAGGTGATGGGAAAGACCTCCGCTTGAGACCCTGGAGAGCTATAAAGAGAGGTTGTGGCTCAGTGGAAGAGCCTCTGCTTGGCATGCAGGAGGTCCCAGGTTCTATTACCCAGCATCCCTAGCTAAAAAGGACCAGGCAGGAGGTGATGGGAAAGACCTCCGCCTGAGACCCTGGAGAGCTGTAAAGAGGGGCCGTGGCTCAGTGGAAGAACCTGTCCTTGGCATGCAGAAGGTCACTGGTTCAAGCCCCGGCATCTCTAGTTAAAAAAGGATCAGGAAGAAGAAGAAGAAGAGGAGGAGGAGGAGGAGGAGGAGGAGGACGTTGGATTTATACCCTGCCCTTCACTCGGAGTCTCAGAGCGGCTCACAAACTCCTTTCCCTTCCCCTCCCCACAACAGATACCCTGTGAGGTTGGTGGGGCTGAGAGAGCTCTTTCGAGAACTGCTCCTGAGAGAACAGCTCTGAGAGAACTGTGACTGGCCCAAGGTCACCCAGCAGCTGCAAGTGGAGGAGTGGGGAATCAAACCCGGTTCTCCCAGATTAGAGTCCGTGCACAAGGTAAAGGTTTCACTTGCTTGAAAGCTAGTCAAGTCTGACTCTAGAGGGTGGTGCTCATCACTGTTTCCATGCCGAAGAGCCAGCGTTGTCCGAAGACTTTTTCCGTGGTCATGTGGCCGGCATGACTAAACGCCGAGGCGCACGGGACGCCGTGACCTTCCCGCCGAAGTGGTACCTGTTTATCTACTTGCAATATCTTGCTTTCGAACTGCTCGGTTGGCAGGACCTGGGGCCAGAGACGGGAGCTCACTCCGTCACACGGCACACTCGGGTCTCGAACTGTCGAACTACTGACCTTCCGGTCTGCAGCTCAGCGTCTTAACCTCTGAGCCACCGCGGCCCTAATAAACCCATACCAGATATATTTAAGGGTCATGGCTTCAAACAGAAGACCCCTGGGAAATGTAGTTCTAGGAAAGGACGATGGTTCTCTGTGCTAGAACGGTCCGCTTGCTTCCAGGTCTACAGTTCCCAGAATCCTCTGGGAGGAAGCCATGATGGTTCAACCCAGGGGTTGAGATTCTGGGCCCAGATGAGTTCCTTGTGAAAGCACCAGCGCTTCCCACTTCCTAGATGGGCTCTCTTACTTGAGGAGCTTGAAGTACGCGAAGCGGAAGGCCTCTTGCAGGAGGACGGAGACGGCAGCGCCGAAGAGCAGGAGGCCGTACTGCAGCTGCGCGTCATTTCGGTCACTGAGCTGCACCGAAATGAACCAGATCAGGGAAGCCAGGAGGAGGGAGACCAGCCAGAAAAAGGCCCTGGAGAAAAGGGGATGCAGGGGGGGGGGGGGAAACCACTATTAGCTATAAGCTGGACCGTGTGCCATTTATTGAAAAGAACTAGGATTCTCCACTAAGATAACCTATACTGTACAATGTGCATAAACTAGGCAGAGCCAAATAGATTTCTTCTGAACAAGGGATCTGCTACTCCGGGGAAGGCAGAGAGGTGTGTAGGGCCCTGAGGCAACCCCCCCCCCCCCCCCCCGGCCACCCCCACCACCCCCCCCCCCGCCCCCTGGAAATTCCGCACAGCTCCTGAGATCTCCATTCTTGTCAGGACACGTTAAAAGAATCCCCTTGAAACCACACAGTCTAGATCAGAGGTTCCCAAACTTATTTGGCCTACTGCCCCCTTTTCAGAAAAAAAATAGAGAGAGAAGAGATTGGATTTATAGCCCGCCCTTCACTATCCAAAGGTGTCTCAGAGCGGCTCACAAACTCCTTCCCCTTCCCCTCCCCACAACAGACACCCTGTGAGGCGGGCGGGGCTGAGAGAGCTCTTGACAGAAACGGCTCTTTTTCAAGAACAGCCCTTGTCAGAACTATGGCTTGCCCAAAGTCATCCAGCCAGGTGCAAGTGGAGGAGTGGGGGAATCAAACCCGGTTCTCCCAGATTAGAGTCCACGCACTTCACCGCCACACCAACCTACACCAAACTACTCAGCGCCCCCCCTGGAAACCTGCCTTCAAGAAGTGGACAAAAAGATGCAGTGACAAATCTGCACATAGTAAAGAAAGATGGTCGTTGTAAGTAAAGGAAGAGGTCGTTGGCCTGAAGCCAGAGGCCCGCAGCAACCACCGCACAATAGCCCGACAGCAACACCAGCCATACAAGGGGGCAGATCAGTGTTCCCTCTAAGCTGAGTTAGCGTGAGCCAGCTCACAGTTTTTTAGCCTCTGGTTCACACGTTTTTGTCTTACCTCAGGAAGGAGGGCTCCAGAGCGAACTAATTTATGCAGCAGCCAGATCGCTCGCTCACAACTTTAATGCCAGTGGCTCACAAAGTAGAACTTTTGGCTCACAGTACTCCGTAGCTTAGAGGGAACATTGATGCAGATGCATTTGCAGTTTGCAAATGCACGGCTGTGATTGGCTGTGGGGACCCCCCTCCCCGATCCCAGGGAAGACTCGGAGAAAGCAGGAAAAGCAGCTTCAGATAGGTTCTGGACTCCTCTTTCTTTACGCTCCCACCGCCCCCTTATTTTTATTCAGCACCACCCCCCCCCACTGCACCAAAGGCTCCTAGACGTCACTTTTTTGCATATTTTTTTTAGTTCCAAAGAAAATTTGGTTTGAATTTTCTTCATATGCTGGCTCTCATTGCACGTTGCTGTCGACACTGGCTGTGCTAAGAACAGAAACTGAACATCTTGCTTGGTACTAATGAAACACAAATAATTCCCCACCTTTGGGTGTTCTGTCTTCCTAATCTCAAATATCCAAGAAAATAGAAAGTTTTTTTCTCTTTAAAACACAGGACTGTTGGGAGGCCAGCTGGGAATCGTCATCCCCGTCCTTGCCAGTAGAGGATGTTCTAGAGGGCCATTCCATAGGAGAGAAACGCCTCTGAGCCCAGCCGATAGACATAGAAAGGAAGAGTGACAGGCAGGTCCCACCAGGAGCAACCAAGAGGGGCTGTGCCCGTGAAAGAGGGAGACAACATCCAGGTTCCCGAGAGGTGCCCCAAGGGTTGGGAGGTCCTACAGCTCTGAGAGCAGGTCCCTTAACCTGCTACCTCACAACCCACCATAGGGGGGTCAGGGTGATGAAGGGCAGCCAGGGAGGCTGGGCTACCCACTCCACCTGCCGCCATGGGAATAGAGAGGAAAAAGGCTGGGAGCCAGATGAAGGGGTTAAAGAGTGAGGAAGCTCTTTTCCCTCAATCTTCTAACAAGGAGGGAAACTCAAACCAGGAGGGAAGGGTGGGGCTAGGGCCCAGTGATTTAGGTCGATTTAGGTTGAGAGGGGGAAGCCGGGAAAAGGAGGAACAGCTCAAGACTTTATGCTGGACTGGGGCACAGAGATAAAGCCAGACCCAGCAAATAGAATGAAGACCAGGGACCCTGGTGATGTTTAACCCCCCCGTGACCTTCACTATTCAGAGCCTGTGCACTCTAGCTCTGCGAAGAAGTCACACCCTGGAGCCACCCAGCCCTCCTGGAGGGGACCCCGGTAGGCTAGGGTGTGACAAGTTCCATCACCATTCTAAGACAGTCATCTTGCCTGCATATACAGGGATCATCATGGGTCTCAGCAAAGCCTTGTTGCCCCTATCTTCTTCTCAGTATATTGATCACTTGGGTGATCAAGAATGGGAGGCAAGTAACATTTCTAGCAAACAGGGAGAGTTTGATTGGGATAAGAAGGTGCCAGTGTATCTTGTGTTCCTGATCAGATACAATTTTTTGTTCTCAACTGTGATATTTCTTCCTGTTTTGCAAGGCATACAGTTCATATGGCTGCTACCGTTTATGGATACCAACGATCACTAGCACTTTATCATGGTTTTAGAATTGTTTTAATCGTAACTTATGCTTTTAATGTAATTATCTGTTTTTGTAAGCCTCCCTGAGCCGGCTTTGGCTGGGAGGGTGGGGTAAAAGTTCAAATAACTAAATAAATAAATAAATGTCATGTAGAATCGTTCCGATGTTCCTAAACATCAGCTTGGAGCAGCATGCCTGGCGGCCCCACGCTTTAGCTCTGGCCACCAGCCCAGGTTGGCTCCAGTTCAGTTCCAGGGCAGCACCAGGCGGCTTCAGCGAGCGGTCTGGGAAACCTCGCAGGCCTAAAGTGTGCCCAACACGTAATGGAAGTTGGTCAGGCGCCCCTCAGCTGCTTGGTACGGGAAGGAAGGAAGGACGGACTGCCCGGAACCAGAAAACTGTGTTTTCTGTGTGCCAACTGCGCTCTGTTGTTTTCCCACGCGGGCTTTGTGCAGGCGCTCTCTTTAACTCTCTCTCTCACACACACAGTTGCGCAAGGGTCTTGCAATAACATTAGTGTCCTTCCTAGATCCTGAAACACAGAAAACACCTTTCAATCATCCCGGCTCCCGCCTTTTCAAACTTCTCAAACGCCACGCACAACTGCCGCAGGGCATCGCTATGAGACGGCATGAGCGACGGGGGGGCTTGCGTGCCACTGGCCAAAGATTCTTTCCCGGCGGGGGCTGAGCCCCCGAAACCTATTCCCTGCCCCCTCACACATGGGGAGAGAGGCTTGGCTTCAACGTGACCATGGCGGAGAGGCAAAGGCACTCTCCCTGGCATCGACATGCGAGCACGCCACAACTCTCCAAAAAGCACTTCTGTCTCACGACTCTCCCGTTGCAGCCTGGCCTAACGACAAACGCAAGCAGGGACAACTGCGGCTCTGCTACAACGGCGCTTTCCCCCCCCCCCATAACACAGCCTGGCAGGGGAGGGGCTCTGGGAACGGGGGCACGTCTCCCAAGCAGCCTTGAGCCCCCCCCCCACACACCTCTCTTGCCGGAAATCAGCCACAAGGGAACCGACCTCTGAGCAGGGTGCTGCCTTTCCAGAGTCACTTTAGATAGGGCGATCTGTGGTCTGGCCACTAGAGAACAGGTGACAGGGGGGGGGGGGAGGGAGCGCGGCCCCGCGTAGGTGGCTGCCATAGGGCCCACTTTCTTAAGGAGGGAGCTTCTTAACCCCCCCCCCCCAAGCCCTACAGTGTCGAAGTGGGGACAGGAATTCCACAAGTGTCCCCTGCCCAATGCTCCCTCTAAGCTGTCTAAGAGTATCATAAGCAAAAAATTCCACTTTGTGAGCTACTGACATTAAAGTTGTGAGCGAGCGACTGGGCTCCTGCATAAACTAGTTTGCTCTGGAGCCCCATCCTTCCTGAGCCAAGACAAAATTGGGTGAGCCGGAGGCTAAAAAACTGTGAGCTGGCTCACACTCACTCAACTTAGAGGGGACACTGGCTGTCCGTCCCCGTGCAGGGAGCAGGGCCTGCCCCAAAGGGAGTTTCCCACCCCACCTGCTACCACCCCGGAACTCCCCCCCCCCACAGGGCATCCCCGGCATGGAGCCCCTTACCAGATCTCATCCAATCCAAGACTATGTTTTTTTCTCCCCCTTGCAAAACCTAAAAGGGGGGGGGGGTCGTCTTGCATTTGGCACGCACGCTAGTTATGTCGAATAATCATTCTTTGGTGCATGCACATAACATTTAAAAGCGGGGGGAGGTATTCCTCCCGAGTAAACCAGATCTAATCCAATCCAAGGCTAGGTTTTTTCCTCCCCCTTGCAAAAACTAAAAGGGGGCTCGTCTTGCATTTGCACGCCCGCTAGTTATGTCCAACAATCATTCTTTGGTGCATGCACATAACATTTAAAAGCGGGGGGAGGTATTCCTCCCGAGTAAACCAGATCTAATCCAATCCAAGGCTAGGTTTTTTCCTCCCCCTTGCAAAAACTAAAAGGGGGCTCGTCTTGCATTTGCACGCCCGCTAGTTATGTCCAATAACCATCCTTTGGTGCATGCACATAACATTTAAAAGCGGGGGGAGGTATTCCTCCCGAGTAAACCAGATCTAATCCAATCCAAGGCTAGGTTTTTTCTCCCCCTTGCAAAAACTAAAAGGGGGCTCGTCTTGCATTTGCACGCCCGCTAGTTATGTCCAATAACCATCCTTTGGTGCATGCACATAACATTTAAAAGCGGGGGGAGGTATTCCTCCCGAGTAAACCAGATCTAATCCAATCCAAGGCTAGGTTTTTTCCTCCCCCTTGCAAAAACTAAAAGGGGGCTCGTCTTGCATTTGCACGCCCGCTAGTTATGTCCAACAATCATTCTTTGGTGCATGCACATAACATTTAAAAGCGGGGGGAGGTATTCCTCGATCCCCGCCCCCCCGCCCCGGTCCCCGTCGCTGACCCGGCCACCAGGATGATGACGCGCAGGGGGTCCCCGGCCACGGTCAGCAGGCAGAGGGCCAAGGCCGGCCCGAAGGCGATGAAGGTGCAGCCGAAGAAGACCGCCGCCCCCATCGCCGCCCCGGACAAAGCCACTGCCCAAGCCCGGCAGGCAAGCAAGCGGGAGGGGAGGGGAGGGGAGGGGCGGGGAGAGCGCCGCGGCCTGCTGGGAATTGTAGTTGCGCGGGCGGCCAGGCGGGTTGCCAACCTCCAGCCGTGGCCGGGACATCTCCCGGAATCACAACCATTCTCCAGGCGACGGAGATCAGTCCCGTCCCGTCCCCGGCAGAAAGAGGTGCTTTGGAGGGTGGGCTCTCGGGCACGGTACACCCCCGAGGTCCCTCCCCCTGTCCGGGCTCCCTCATAGGGTTGCCAAGCAGTGCTCCCTCTAAGCTGAGTGAGTGTGAGCGAGCCCACAGTTTCTTAGCCTCCAGCTCACACATTTTTGTCTTCGCTCAGGAAAGATGTGGCTCCAGAGCAATGCTCCCTCTAAATTACTATGGCGTCTCGTGAGCAAAAATTCTGCTTTCTGAGCTGCTGGCATTAAAGTTGCGAGTGAGGGATTTGGCTGCTGCCTAAATCAGTCTGCTCTGGAGCCACATCTTTCCTGAGCGAAGACAAAAATGTGTGAGCTGGAGGCTAAGAAACTGTGGGCTCGCTCACACTCACTCAGCTTAGAGGGAGCATTGCTCTGGAGCCACATCTTTCCTGAGCGAAGACAAAAATGTGTGAGCTGGAGGCTAAGAAACTGTGGGCTCGCTCACACTCACTCAGCTTAGAGGGAGCATTGCTCTGGAGCCACATCTTTCCTGAGCGAAGACAAAAATGTGTGAGCTGGAGGCTAAGAAACTGTGGGCTCGCTCACACTCACTCAGCTTAGAGGGAGCATTGCTCTGGAGCCACATCTTTCCTGAGCGAAGACAAAAATGTGTGAGCTGGAGGCTAAGAAACTGTGGGCTCGCTCACACTCACTCAGCTTAGAGGGAGCATTGCTCTGGAGCCACATCTTTCCTGAGCGAAGACAAAAATGTGTGAGCTGGAGGCTAAGAAACTGTGGGCTCGCTCACACTCACTCAGCTTAGAGGGAGCATTGTTGCAAACCTCCAGGGGGTGACCAATGTTCCCTCTAAGCTGTGGAGTCTTGTGAGCAAAAATCCTACTTATCCTAGCTGCTGGCATTAAAGTTGCGAGTGAGGGATTTGGCTGCTGCCTAAATCAGTCTGCTCTGGAGCCACATCCCTTCCTGAGTTGAGACAAAAATGTGTGAGCTGTAGGCTAAAAAACTGTGAGCTAGCTCACACTAACTCAGCTTAGAGGGAACACTGGTGGAGTCTGGAGATCTCCCCCCAGTTTGGTGTAGTGGTTAGGAGTGAGGATTCTAATCTGGGAGATCTGGGTTTGATTCCCCACTCCTCCTCTTGCAGCTGCTGGTGTGACCTTGGGTCAGTCACCAGTTCTCTCAGAGCTGTTGTCTCAAGAGGGGTCCTGCAGAGAGCTGTCTCAGCCCCGCCTACCTCACAGGGTGTCTGTTGTGGGGAGGGGAAGGGAAAAGGAGTTTGTAAGCCCCTTTGAGACTCCCTTGGGTAGTGAAGGGCAGGGTATGAATCCAGTCTCCTCCTCCTCCTCCTCCCGTAGGACAACTGATCTCCAGGCGACCGGGATCGGTTCACCTGGATAAAATGACCACTTTGGGAGGCGGAGTCTATGGCATCACACCCCATTGAGGTCCCTCCCCTCCTCAAACCCTGCCTTCCTTAGGCTCCACCCCCAAAACTTCCAGGTATTTCCCCACCCAGAGCTGGCAATGGCACACCATCCACAACTAGGACTGGCCTTTCCTTATGGTTCCCAGCTTCCAGGTGGGGCCTGGAGAAACTCTGGAATTACAACTGACCTCAAGGCAACATAGACCAGTTCCCCAGGGCTGCTTTGGAAGGGTCCCTGGTTCAGTCCCCGGTAGCATCTCCAGTTAAAAGGACCAGGCAGGAGGTGATGGGAAAGACCTCCACCTGAGACCCTTGAGAGCTGTAAAGAGGGGCCGTGGCTCAGTGGCAGAGCCTCTGCTTGGCATGCAGAAGGTCCCAGGTTCAATCCCCAGAATCATCTCCAGTTGAAAGGACCAGGCAGGAGGAGATGGGAAAGACCTCCGCCTGAGACCCTGGAGAGCTGTAAAGAGGGGCCGTGGCTCAGTGGAAGAGCCTCTGCTTGGCATGCAGAAGGTCCCAGGTTCAGTCCCCGGCATCTCCAGTTAAAAGGACCAGGCAGGAGGTGATGGGAAAGACCTCTGCCTAAGACCCTGGAGAGCGGCTGCTAGTCTGAGCAGACCATAGGGACTTTGAAGGAGCAATGGTGTAATTCAATATAAGGCAGCTTCATGTATTCATGTTCCTATGTGCTTAACCTCTTATATAAACACCAACCTAGTGAGGATGAACATAAGAACATAAGAGAAGTCAATGCTGGATCTAGGCTAACACTCTGTCACACAGTGGCCAAAAAGACCAGGTGCCACCAGAAGGTCCAAGCAGTGGGGCCAGGACACTAGAAGCCCTCCCACTGGTGCACCCCCCCCCAAGCACCAAGAAGACAGAGCATCCCTTGCCCCAGACCAAGAGCCACCGATGGACCTCTGCTCCATATGCTTATCTAATTCCCTCTTGAAGCTGTCCATGCTTGTAGCCGCCACCTCCTCCTGTGGCAGTGAATTCCATGTGTAATCATTAAAGAACCATTGTTTGTGTCTCAGAAAGTGGGCCGTAGTCCAGGGCAGCTAGACTAAAATTTCGTTCGTATTTAGGATGTCGCAAGACCCAAGCTTGTTTTCACTCACTTCCAAAGTTCTGGGAGTGGGTAGAGGTGGGGCTGGTTGCAAATTCCTCCTCCACAAAATTCACTGGAGGTTGGGATAAAAATATGGCAGTGTAGACTGCTGCTGGAGAGCCCTAGGCAGGAGAGAACAAACACTCTGGCTCAGTAGAAGAGCCGTGCCTAATAGGAGGTGCCTTGAAGTACAGCAGGGCAAAAGTTCAACTGGGCGAAACACCTCTCCTGCCAACCGCAAGCAGAGATAAGCGCCCTGTGCAGAAAATTATCTCGTTGCTGCTTCCGCCTCATGAGCAGAACTGCACCAGCGTGAATGCTTACTTCCAATATAACATTTTTGAATCCAGGATAAACACATGGAAATGGTTTAATTTAGGAAAAAACCTGAGCATGTATGGACCGCTTAAGGGCTTTCTCTCTCTCCCTCCCTCCTGTCCTCGTCAAATGTAATCTTTTCTCTTCCCTGTTCTGCTCAACGTTTCACACACAAATTTCACTCAAAAAAACCCCTTTTCACAGTGTTTTTCTGCAGCTTCCTGTTGCAGCCAAGGGCTTGTCTCCTGGAATCTCAACAGAGAATTAACAAAAATGATTCTGGGTGACACCAAGGAATGAAAACAGAACTGCTCAAAAGCCACCAGGCATCAGTCACGCGGAAGTCAAAAGGCACCATCTCCAGCAGGCCTTTTGCGAGGCTCAACCACAAGGGGTCACTCCTGCCCACTTCTCCTGCCTGAGCTCAACCTCTCATTTGAGGGATGCCAACGTCCAGGTGGGACCTGGAGATTCCCAGGCATTACAACTGATCTCCAGACGAGAGAGATCAGTTCCCCGGGAGGAAATGGATGTTTTAGAGGGTAGGCTCTGTGGCATCGTAGCCTACTGAGGTCTCTTACTTCCCAAACCCTGCCTTCCCCAGACTAGTCTGCCTCAGTCTCCAGGAATTTCTCAAACTGGAGCTGGCAAACATCTCTCTCTCTCTCTCTCTCTCTCTCTCTCTCTCTCTCTCTTTGAGATTTATCTTTTTATTTGCAGAGAATTAAATTACAAAGTTATAGAAAGATACATAAGATACATAAAATACCTATAAATACAATATGCTGTCCAAACTGATAAGATATATAAACATCTGAAGTGATCAAAATACAGGGTGGAACAAATAGCTAAGAATAACCTAAACCAACTATGAAAATATATGGGGTGGTATAGAACATGAAATTGAGCAAACTTCAGAGGACGGCGGAAGACAGGAAGGCCTGGCGTGATCTGGTCCATGGGTTCGCGGAGAGTCGGACTCGACTGTGCGACTGAACAACCACAACAACATAGAACATTAGGGAGCTGCGGTGGCTCAAGTGGTTAAGACGCTGAACTGCAGGCTGTGGAAGGTCGGTAGTTCGGCAGTTCGAGACCCGAGTGTGCCGCATGACGGAGTGAGCTCCCGTCGCTAGTTCCAGCTCCTGCCAACCTAGCAGTTCGAAAGCAAGAAATTGGAAGGAGATAAATAGGTACCACTTCAGTTACCTATTCAGGTAACAGCGCTCCGTGCGCCTTGGTGTTTAGTCATGCCGGCCACATGACCACGGAAACGTCTTCGGACAGCGCTGGCTCTTCGGCTTTGAAACGGAGGTGAGCACCGCAACCCTAGAGTTGGATTCGACTGGCTTTCGAGCAAGGGAACCTTTACCTTTATAGAACATTAGGAATATTTTAACATAATTTGAATAAACATACAATCATTTTTTTTAACAAGAACAAGAACTAACAGAAAGAGAAAAGTAAAATTATACTATTATAATACCAATAAATCAATTGGGTAATATCTATTTAGAAATGACACACTGACAGAGATAAACTCAATGACTGGAAACCAAGTTTGAATAAAAGTAGACATTACAGGGTTATTACTCTTGTCAATTGTGGACTTACTATATAAAACCTTTCCCATAATGTACATATCCCAAACACAATGGTGGTTGTTGCTCAGTCGCACAGTCGAGTCCGACTCTTCGCGACCCCATGGACCACATCGCGCCAGGCCTTCCTGTCTTCTGTCGTCCTCCGGAGTTTGCTTAATTTCATGTTCGTTGCATCGGTGACACTGTCCAACCATCTCATCCTCTGCCGCCCCCTTCTTCTTCTTTGACTTTCAGTCTTTCCCAGCATCAGGGTCTTCTCCAGTGAGTGCTCCCTTCTCATTGGGTGGCCAAAGGATTTGAGCTTCAGCTTCGGTATCTGGCCTTCCAGGGAACAGTCAGG